GATGAAGAAGACGACGATGGTGATGACGACAATGATGAGCAGGGTAGGAGGAAACTTCTGGAGGTGATGGCTCTATTTAAGGCCTAGATTGTGGTGACGATTTCATGGATATGCACCTCTCTCCAAGCTCACAGAGTGTCCACATTAAATGCCCACAGCTCTTTGCATGCCCATCACACCTCAATCACGTGAAAAGGGGGAAGAACTAGCTGCAGAGCTTAAGAGCCCCCTGCTCCACCCCAGCGAGCCTGTTCCTTAGACGTGTTTGCCGACCCAGGGATTTCCATTTTTAACCAGCATCTGGTGGCTCTAGACAGGAGGGCCCTTGGATCACACTTTGAAAACGACCAGTTTATGCCTTGAGTCCAAAAGTGCTTCCAGCTTTACTGTCCTCAGGTTTGGGGCCATCCATGCAGTTGGCAGCATGGCAGAACATTGGGCCAAGTTCCTGGGCGTTAATACTTCTGAAAAGAAAGTCTCTGGGGACCTCAGTTTGGCTCGTGTGACTTGTGAAGGTGAAGGTATTTCATGGCTTTGAAGTGGTGCGTGTGTGTCCTCGCATGTATGCGTGTTTGTTGCATGTATCTGTGTGCCTCCCTCCACGTGGTCAGCATCTGTTAGAGCTGAGTGTTGGCTTCTGTCACCAAGGTGCTCACAAGTACACCTATGCCTGTGTATGTCATGTGTGGGCTTACATTGGTTATCAGAGAGAGAGAGAGAGAGACAGAGAGAGAGAGGGAGAGAAAGAAGGAGGGACTGGAACACCTGGGCAGAGATACACTCAAATACATGCAGAGCTTACAACCTCAATAATTTCATAATAAAGAAAATTTTAAATTTAAATTATTTCACCATACAGCTCAAGGTCAAAGAGACGTGTAAGGGGAGATTGAGGATAAGCTAACAACCAAGATACCTTACTGACTACCTCTCCTTGGAAAAGTGCTGCGACTCTAAAAGCTTTCACATATTTATTTATAGCCATCTCCTGGGGTGAAAGACATTGCCAATGGGCTGAATATTTTGCTTAATATCCTCAGGTGCAAACTAGCAACTGTTTGGATTGTTTGTAGTAGTGATAAAAGACTAATTGAAAAAGTTAACAGCTGCAATGGATTATCTAACTTCCAGGTCTTTTGAATCAAATGAATGTCTAGTCAGTCACCTTTTATACTTTATAATCTGCACAAACTAGTATACAGTTTTTAAAACTACCATACGGCTTTACAAAGCTATCCCACTCTTTTGAAGTGACTCAGAATACAGGCACACCTTGGAGATTCCGCAGATTTGGATCCAGACCACTGTAATAAGGTGACTGGAGTAATAATGAGAGTTGTCATTTTTCCTGCTCTTGCCTTCAACTTGTAAAAACTGCCACATCTGTTTTAATAAGCGCAATAAAGTGAGGTCTGCCTGCAAAGCAGGAACGTGCCATGTTCCCTGTTGATGGGGAAGAGATCATGGAGGGTTCCCAGTTTGGATAATGAGGCCAAGGTCAACCCGCGGGAGAGAAAACTGTCCTCTGGCCACAGACTGAACCCTGGCCAACGGTCTCATAAACACGGCCCCAGTCATAATGGGATCCAGATGCAGGCGAGTGGATGGCTCGCAGTTGACATTCTACTGATAATGACTGGGTGGGACAGTTTGCTGGGGACATACAGGGCCAGGATTGCAACTCAGGTCTCCCGACTGCAGAGCCTGTTGCTCAGTGGCTGTGGTGGGACTGGAAACCAGGTCCTGACGTGACAGAGCTTCAGAACTTCTCTCAATGGACAAAAGACGGCAAAACAAACAAGCCACGCCAAACAAATAAGCCAATTCTGTGAGAGGTGTGGGGGGTGGGAGTGCACCCAGCTCAGACACCGGGGACCCTGGGAAACCAAGCCTTGTGTCTGCATGGATCCACAGTATAAGGCAGCTAGCTCTATCCCAGGCAGCTCAAGCACAGGCACATCCTCTTAAAATGCAGCTGAAAACGTCCTCCTTCTAGATTAACAATGGACAATTGAAGTGCTCCACCCCACCCATCCCCTCTCCCCCGTAAAAGGCAAGGCAATCAGGGAAAATCAGCTTGATAGATGGGGCCCGGACGTGGCTGTCCCACAGCCAGGACTGGCGCAGACACAGCTGGAGACTGTCCTGAAACTCTCAGCGGCTGCTCCGGGGCTCAGGCGAGGATCAGGGGGAACAGGATGGAGGAACGGGACACGGTGGCCAATTCAGAGACAGACGGAGCAGCATTTCGAGGAGAAAGGCTGGGCTAGCTCTGGGGCTGACTGTGCCCCTGAAACCAGAGTTGGGCATGATGGGGTGAAGGCATGGGGGCCAGAAGGATGGACACTTGCTCTTTTGGCCAAAGCAACCATGGAGAAGAGGTTCTCCTCCTCAGAACGCTGGGCAACAGCCACTTGAGGGTAAAGGCAGGGGATGCGGCAGCAGAGGGAGCCTGGGAGGGAGGGGCCAGGGGTGGAAAGTGGGGGCAGAGAGAGGAGAGCTGAGAGCCTGGGAGCATCAGCAAACAGGCCTTCGCCACCCCTGGAGATGTCCCTCCTGCCCCCGATTACCCGAGTGGGGGTCCCGTGTGCAGGGCACAAGGGGCGGAGGTACAAGCAAAGTAAAACAGTGCCCACCTTTGGGGACAGGGGCGGGGAGTGTCATGTGGACACAGGGTGAGAAGAGAGAAGATCCAGTCCAAGGATCCCAAAGTCAACGTACTGACTGGTTCGTCAGGCTAGGCCCTAAGCGTGCACTGCCTTTCAAATGGAGCTTGCTAAGGTCTTTACGGGCGGCCACGATCACTTTCCAGGGACTCCAATAAAGCCAGTTCTGTTCACGGAACAGCCACCGAGTCCAACTAACTCATAAAAGCCCGAGCCGCCCGCCTCTGCTGCAGTTCACCCTCCGTTCAGGCCGGGGCCCAGGAAGCAGCAGCCTGTGGCAGGCCGAATCGGCCACCTGACGACACGGTGACCTCAGCAGCGGGAGCCGTGGTGACAGCAATGACGCCACCACGCCGGCTTTCAGAGAACCCACTGGCCCACCCTCCTTCACCCCTGCCCCCAGGGACACACGGGGTCCTCCCCGCTCCCTTCAAGCCCAGGGCCTCGCTGTGAGGAGGATCGCCTGCTCAGAGCAGAGAGACAGGGAGCCAACCGCAAAGCTTACGGAGCCAGTGAGTGGACAGGAGGGGAGTGAGCAGGAGGCAGCGGCAAGCTGCTCCGTCCCCATGGGAGATGCTGGCACACCTGCACCGAGGGGGGAAGAAATGGAGGGAAAGACAGAAAGAAAGGAGGGAAGGGGCCTAGAAAGGAGCTGCTGTAGCTCGGGAAATGCCTCCTAAGGGGTGGGTGGGCCTAGGTGGGGCGGCAAATAGCACAGGTGAGGGGCCTAGAGGCCTGAGGCAGGAGTGAGGAAGGTGAGAGGGGCTCGGGGGGACCCTGCCTTGCAGGTTATGCACGGGGCTGCAGGCTGAGGGCTTGGGTGGAGGGACTGGCCGGAAGGTCAGTGCCTCAGTGAACAGTGGAGCTGACCGGTGGAGCTCCAGGTGACGCCAGCTGTGCCACCCAGTGGCTCTCGCTTGCTTTCCAGCCGTGTCTCCGTGGCCGGGAAGGAAGTGTGGCATCAGACAAAGACTAGCCCGGGATTCTGCTTTTCTTGGCTACATGTCAGCCTCTGATAGGGCCATCAGCCCCGTCTTCTCATGGGAGTTTGGCTTTGTTTCCTGCCACGGTCCATCTTCACTGGACTGTTCCACATCACCTCAAACACAGCCCCTCGCCGCCGCCACCACAGAACAGCCCGGCCCGGCCCTCTCCACCCACTCCTTCCTGCGCCCACCGCGTGCCGGACGCCGAGCGAACCACTGAGCTGTGTCACCATGGGCCACCATCCCAACCACCCCACAGGCTGGTGACCGACTTCCCGAGTGGACGGGTGAAGAAGTGGAGTCGTAGGGAAATAGGGCAGCAAACCCGAGTTGCACAGCTTAGCCAGTGCAGGGATCAGAGTCAACCCAGGCTTCTCACTCCCAAGCCAGTGCTGTCACCTGCCCCCCCCCCCCACCCCCACCCTGCAGCACCGGTTCTCAACCCTGGCGGGGCAATGAGATCCCCCCCAAAAAACGTGGATTCAGTTTGTAGAGATTGGTACCCAAGTTGGGTTGCTTTTAAAAGCCTTGGGGGTGACTTTACCGTGTAGCTAGGGGTGGGAACTGGCATGCAAGAGACCCCAATATTCCGGCTCCGGCACGGTGGCCGGCTCAGGTGAGCAGTGAAGTCTCCTTGTGGAGTGAGTGGAGGAATGAAAGCTTTGTCCTTCTCTGCAATCCTCCCACCATCTTCCCATCATCCTGACCCAAAACTTGGCCTTCTCTCGCCAGGAGCAAGCCAACGGGCCCTATTCCTCCTTCGATCGCTCAAACATGGACATGTAAACGCCACCTGCAGAGCATCACGTTCGTCTTGTTGGTAACGCTTCGTGCCTGCTCCACGGTTAAGGATACAGCTGCATGCTCTTAGTTTGGTATTTAAGACAACTCTGCCCCAACTTATCCTTTCAGTCCCAGCTCCCATGACCCCCAGATGCTCTGTTCTGACCAAGAAGGGGGTCTTCCTTGTCTCCGATGTGAGTCTTGCGTGTTCTTGCCCCAGTGACTTCAATAATGCCCGCCCCCCTCTCTCCTCCACCCACGTCTGGATCCAGGAGGACCCTGCTCTGCATCTGCTCTTCACCCCAGCCCCCAGGAGCCCCTTCCAACTCTGAACATGTGTGTGTGTGTGTGTGTGCGCGCCAAGAACCTTACCCGGCTCCCTCCTACATGCTTCTCATCCCCATTCCCAAGGGCACATGTCCTAATTTCCTGACTGAACTCCGATCCCTGGCAGGCGGCACTGCAGGCATAGAACGTCATCTCCCCCGTGGTGACCAGCACCGCACCCTCTCTGTGGATGCCCCTGGGCGGCCGGCATCTCCTGTCCCCGTGCGAACGGTCTTACCTGTAGTATCTGGACTGCAAGTACGTGGAACACACGGCCTTGGACACGTGACTGGCCGACCCAAAGTCGATGACCTTCACCCGGTACGGTTGTCTGGACGGATCCACCAGCATGATGTTTTCCGGTTTGAGGTCGGCGTGGATGAGGCCCAGGCTCTTTAGTTTCATCAGGGCCGTGGCTACCTGCTGGAGGACCGGGCGGATGTACTTGAGGGGCAAGGGACTAAACTTGTTCTGCTTCAGGAAGTCATAGAGGTTCTGCTCCAGCATCTCAAAGACCAAGCACGTGTGGTTCTTGTGCTGGAAGCACTCATAGGCCCGGACAAAGTTGTAGTCGTCGGCGCTCTCGGTGCTCAGGCGGGCCAGGATGCTCACCTCGATCTGGCCTTGCCGGGCGTAGGACGGGTGGTTCTTCAGGATCTTGATGGCCACGATTTCATTGGTGCCCCTCTTCCAGCACTTGACCACTTGCCCGAATGTCCCTCGGCCCAGGAACTCCAAAACCTCGTATGTGTTGGTCATGGAGCACAGCACCTCATGCTGGACCAGCTGGTAATCGCCTTCGCTGTTGGAGCCACTGTTTTTGGAGGTGGCAGTCGACGTGGTGGCAGTGGCTACCGTGGCCCCGCTTGCATTGTTCTGAATCATGGGTGGGTGCTCTTCGATGATCTGCACGCTGCTTGTGTTCTCAATCTCCTCGCTCTTACGCTTGAGTCCACATTTTTGGTAGGTGTCAAGGAGGCTCACAGTGCTTCGACGCATTAGGTTATGTGGTCCGCCGAGGACTTGCCCGGTGACAGAAGTGCTGCTTGCTGATGTGACCACTATGTGCCCGGTGCTTCCTGGGAAGATGATGGTCTGCTCGTAAGGTAGGCTCGGGTTTGGGATGGGCAAGGAGGTGCTGACGGTTGTGGTGGCTGGCTGAGAAGGTGGCACGTTCTTGCTCTGGCTATACACTTTGCTGTGGGAGCCGTACCCAGTCATGTCCCAGTTGGAACTCGGCTCTACTTTCAATTTCTTCACACTACAGAAGGCACTTGATTGAAGGGTGTGAGGGGAGAAAACTTGCACATGTGAGGCCATACCTATAAGGGAAAGAAAGGAAAAAATAAATATTTAGTTGCCATCACATGAATAGACTCAACAGATTCATTTCCGTTCTGAGCAGTGGCCGGGGCCTATAGAATATTCCCCCCTCTTACACAAAGTTGCAAAAGTGAATCTATTCCGTCCAGAAGCACATTCTGGTCACTCAGTGTGTGGGGCCAAGGCGTTAGTTGTTCCACTTGACACCATTAGGAGGATGAGAGACTTACAGAGTCAGGAATATATTTAAGATTAAGATACAGAATTTGAATGTCAGGAGGACTTTGTTCATTATATATATATTACAAATAACATTTGTGATAGAAATGAATTCTTCCTCAACCCTCACTGGGTTGCAATCCCAGTAAAACTGAAGACTGTATTGTTATGCAATTGTTATGTATGTTGTCTTCCATGGTCAGTTACTCTTTGTCTCAGATCTTGACTGTCTGGTTCAATCATATGAAGAAACATCTTCCCACATAGGTCCAGTCATGGAGCCACTCACCATGGGCTAGCTTCTGGATGACCCATAATTACTCTGGGATCTTATTCTTAAGTTACTCTTAGATGAATTCTGTAGGGTTGAGTAGCTAAGCAGTTGGTTCAATATTTGTATTTAGATAGTCTAAAGTGGGTAATACAATTCATGGGTTTTAGCACTAACTTTTTCTGCTAAATGCATATATCGATAAATTAATTCATCTAGAAAGTATTATTCCAGACCAACATCTCACCCACAATTTAGATAACCTCAGGACTCTATAAGAGCATAACTCTGGAATAGTTGTGCAATTTATAATTATGGTGGTAATAGAAATAAAACAATTCATAGAAACTGTATTAGGAAAAATAAGACAACGAGGAAGAATAAGTTCTTAAAGGTGAAAGTAGAAACACACAGTGCCCGTCTTCTGAGCTGCAGACATGAACATCTCTTACAAGTGGGTTTTCTATCAAGCACCGTTGGTAGTTAGCCATCCGAATGTCCGTGTTTCTCTGACCCCCGCGTGTTACCCAGAGTGGTATTTAACATTTTCATTTTCACCCAATTGCCCATCACCCTCGTCCAGCCTCTTTCTCAGCGGGCCTCGCACCTTCCAATTTGTCCAAAAGCCTAAGGTCAGCAGTCTTGCTTTCCACCTTTATTCTCTTCCTTTCAAAACATTTCTGAATCTACATCCATCCTCCACTCTCTCCTCTACGTCTCAGAGGAAGAGGTGTCTCTCCTTTCCAACATTAAAAGTTCCCCTATTCTCATGATTCATCCTTTCCCATTTCTCTTGAACCCAGTTCCCTCCACGGTCCTCTTTCTCCTACAGCTTTTAATTTCTTCTGTTGATGGGATCCGAGTCCTTAATGAATCAATGGCTTAATCTCTGTCTTCATGTGTGTCACACACACATTTCCAACGTGGAAGACAAGGGGAGTAATCATCATGTTCTCCCCTTTACTTTGTTCCTTCTTCTCACCTGTAATCAATGTTAGACCCCCTATCCTTCCAGGCTCAGTCCTTAATCCACCTTCTCTCCACCCCACATACACCCTCCGTGACACTGTCCCAAAGGTAAACGACTTCCTGCCTAACCCAGCGGCCTTTCTTCAGTCCCTAGCCTTTCTCAGTGACCTCTCCGCAACATCTGATACTGCTGACCACAGCTTCCTCCTCAATGCTCTTATCTGTGTCTACGAGAACCTGTAACCTCCTCCCTAGTGTCTCGCTGCACGCTGTGTGCTGGGTGGTTTCTTTCCGCTTCCTCCTCGAAAATGTTCGTGTCTCCAACATGTTGACTCTCCTCTCTCTAGAATAGGGGTGTCGAACTCAATCAGAGAAGGGGCCAAAATCTAAAATCCAGCCTAAATCGCGGGCCGAATGGTTTACTGAACAGTCATAAACTGTCATTGTGATGGAAACGCAGCGGAGTGCAGTGATGACAGCGCGGTGCAGGCCACATTGCAAGGCCTGGCAGGACGGATTTGGCCCGCGGGCCTTGTGTTTGACACATGTGCTCTAGAAGATAGGATCCCTTCAAACAGGTAAAACAGTCATCTTGATGCAGGCGACTCCCACATGTTTATCACAGGGAGCCTCTCCCTGGTACCTTCCAGTAATACACCTCTGCATCCTGCGTCAGCAAAGACTACCCTCTACGGGTCAATTCATTATCTTTCCTTAAGAATTGAGCCACCTCACCCTCCCACCTAACATCCCATTTCTGTTCATTAAATAGTCTTCTAGTCACTTGGTTCCAAAACTATGCATTTACCTTTGATGATTCTTCTTTGCCTCCATGGACAAGAAGGTGCTAGGCTTTATTACCCTCTCCTTCTTCAAAATGCCTCTTATATTCATCTCTTCATTTCTGTCCTTGTTGCTATTTCATAGTTAAAACATGTACCACTTTCTAGCAGGATTAAAGCAAACACAGACATCTGGTCTTTCCGAGTGATCTTTCTTCTAGTTGCCACCTCCAGCCACCAGACTAACTTTCCCAGGATTTTTCTAAGCATGTCACTCCTCTGTCCAAAAACTTTTAATGACTTTTTCGTGTCTAGAAGATAAAGTTGAGGACTCTATTGGCTTCTTCTCCAACTATTAACCTTCCTCAATTTTCAACTCTATGAAGCTGTTTTACTGTTTTTAAATGCCTCTCAAACTTCCTACCTCCACACTTTTGCACCATTCCTCTATCTGGCACGACTTCACTATTTCTCTCAACTTATCTAAAGACAGGACAATTCAGATCGCTCCCTTTCCCAGACCTTGCCAAGACACGGTGGTTACTCTCAGCTCCCTATTCCTATGGCATCTATCATATAGTGTCACCCATTTGGTCACAAAATGCATTTCTGCCCTGCAAAATCTCTTGTCTTACTGGGCTGAATCATTTATCTTTCGTGCTGTTTAACTTCTGACACATTTAGGTCCTGTTTTCATAACCAGGCCATTTTCTGAGGGCAAGAACGACAGTTCATACCTCATACTTAGTTCTGTTTCCCCAGCGTTGAGCTGAGTTTATGATACATGGTAGGCACGCGGTTGATGGAAGAAAGTACTCTTGCTGGCCTGGTCTCCAAGAGAGAGCTTAGCTCTCTGGCTACAGAGTCACAAGCACTTATTGAACCTGGATGCACTTCTCTGGGAAGTCCAGAAAATCCTGCTAACATCTTTTCATCCTAAGCAAGGCATTTTAAAACCAAGACTCCTGTCCTGGGGTCGGCATTCAGGTCTGCCTGTACTTCACCCTGGACAGGCTCTGACGTTCCTACACCTGCTCTGAACCCCACCTTGAGCCTGATCCCTTAGATGTGACAGAGGCCTCTTCACTTGTTTGGATCCTGAGCTCCAATAGGTGTGAAATGACTACACTTCTCTGTACATCCTTCTGCTCACAAGACCACTAATATTTCAGTTTCCTTATTCAGAGCCTGACCTGTTTCTTCCCACTGCTCTTTTTGTTCAAGTCAACCTCCCCCTAATTCTACAATAACACAGAAAATGATTTTCTGTTTACTAATATTAAATATCCATATGGTTCTAGATGATGTATATAATATAGAAATGACCAATCCCTTGGCTTTTAGTAACTAACTCATTCACTGAAGAGGCAATGCAAATAAGCATTTCCTTTATCCTTTGGCATCTAGCTTGCCCCCTTACTCCTCAAGCCCTTCAGGGGGAGGGGAAGGTGGCAGTCAGGGCTGCAGTAGAAAAAATATGCTGATGTTATATAAACTTCAAGGAGATGTGGCTCTGTTTTCACTCTTTCAAAGAGATTTTGGTGGAAAGGCCAGGGTGTAGAAGTGGAATTTTACAGACGGGAAGAAGATGGCTTATGACTTATTGGGATGACAGCCAAGGGTCATAAAACTGTGGAAATCATCACTGGCCACCTCTGGTGACAGATGTCAGCATCGGAGAGGCCCTGCGTGGCTGGACGTGCCCTTCACCGCCGGCTGCCTCCAACCCTGGCGTGGCCTCATGCGGTCCCCTTGCTCCTTTTATAAGGTCAGCAGCTACTGTTCCAAGAACTAGACACAATTCCAATGCAGCCTGATTATTTCCAGCTTGACTGAGATGTAACTGACATAACATTGTGTAAGTTTAAAGTGCACAGTGTGACGATTTGTATATATTTACACACACATATACGCTGAGTGGCCAGATTATTATGATTTCTGAACGCATAATAATATGGCCACTCAGTGTATATCCTATATAATAAAAGACTAATATGCAAATTGTCCCCTCGACCAGGAGTTCGACCAACAGGCTGGCTGGCCAACCCCCTATGACTCCTCCCCCTGGCCAGGCTGGCTGGACCCTACCCATGCACGAATTCATGCACTGTGCCTCTAATATACATCCTATCTAATAAAAGAGTAATATGCAAATTGACTGTCACTCCAACACACAAGATGGCTGCCCCCATCTGGGCACAAGATGGCCACTACAAGATGGCCAGCAGGGAGGACAGATGGGAGGGTTCAGGGCAGTTAGGGGCAATCAGGCTGGCAAGGGAGCAGTTAGGCATTAATTAGGCTGGCAGGGGAGTGGTTAAGAGGTGATCAGGCTGGCAGGCAGAAGCAGTTAGGGGCAATCAGGAAGACAGGCAGGCAAGCAGTTGGGAGCCCGCAGTCCTGGATTGTGAGAGGGCAGTCGGACATCCCTCAAGGGGTCCCAGATTGGAGAGGGTGCAGGCTGGGCTGAGGGACACCCCATCCCCGTGCATGAATTTCATGCACTGGGCCTCTAGTGTATATATATACTGAGTGGCCAGATTATTATGCATTCAGAGATCATAATAATCTGGCCACTCAATGTATACTGTGGATTGATGACCACGATGAGATTAGTTAACACATCCATGACCTTTAGAAGCTTTAGTTCTAGATCGTCTGGACTTGCGGAGTGAAAATAGGAACCTCTTGTTAGGTGTTACCCTAGGAGACTACGGAAGCTTTTGTGGCCAAGTCTGGGTCTGGCGACAGGTTGGCC